CACCCACCGCCTCAACACCACCACGGCCAACGCAGCCGCCGTGGAGGTGCTGGAGCCCAGCGCCCGCCAGTACATGGCCACCGGCCTCCAGCCCGAGGCCACCTACCTCTTCTGCATCGCGGCGCAGACCCGCAAGGGCTGGGGCGAGGCGGCTGAAGTCCTTGTGGTGACCACGGAGAAGAGAGGTAATGGGGGGAGGATCCAGCCCATGGTGTGGGGGGCTGTGTGTGCTCACGGCGTGCCCGTGGTGCTCCCAGCCCCTCGCCTCTCCCAGACCGCCCGCAGCCCCCCGGGAAGCCACTGGTGCAGCAGGAGGAGGTGCGAGCCCGCAGCGTGCTGCTCTCCTGGGAGCCGGGCAGCGATGGGCTCTCCCCCGTCCGCTACTACACGGTGCAGACCCGCGAGCTGCCCGATGGCGAGTGGGTGCTGCACTCCACCTCCATCAGCCGCAACACCACTGCTTTCGTCGTGGACAGGTGAGGCATGGGCCAGCCCTGAGTGGTGCTGTGGGGTGATGGGGAGCCAGGGACATGATGGGCTCTGCTTTGGGCAGTTGTCCCGTGCCTCAGTTTCCCCATCCGATGAGAAGTGCTTGCACCGAGGTTGGGAAGCACCAGCCCATGTGCCCTGCGGGAGGGAGGGAGGGTGGCTCACAGGGTCACCCATTGGCCTCACTGTCCCTGTCCCACTCTGCTTCCATCCAGGCTGAAGCCCTTCACCTCCTACAAGTTCCGTGTGAAGGCGACAAACGACATCGGGGACAGCGAGTACAGCGAAGAGTCGGAGTCGCTCACCACCCTGCAGGCGGGTCAGCGCAGGCCGCGGGTCCTGGGGCAGGGAGAGGGGGTGCTCCCCCTGCCTGGGCATCCCCCCCTGCCTGGGCATCCCCCCGTGCCCAGGGCATCTCCGGAGCCTCACTGCCCACTTCTCCCCTGCAGTCCCCGAGGAAGCCCCCACCATCCTCTCCGTCACCCCGCACACCACCACATCGGTGCTCATCCGCTGGCAGGTACTGTCCCCCTCACCTTGCTGGGTGTTGTGGGACCGGCCACCTGCCCCCTTGGGAGGTGGCACCGAGGTGTACTGGGAACAGCCATCTCGGGGTGCTGGGGAGCCCCGGGTCAGAGCAGCCCCTCACTGTCCTTCCCGTGCAGCCCCCAGCTGAGGACAAGATCAACGGGATCCTGCTGGGTTTCCGCCTCCGCTACCGCGAGCTGGTGTACGACAGCCTGCGCGGCTTCACCCTCCGCAGCATCGGCAGCCCCAGCGCCACGTGGGCCGAGCTCACCTGTGAGTGCTCACGGCCCTGCCGAGCCTGGGGACGTGTGGCTGGGGGGGTGGCTCAGTGGTGGTGGGTCGAGGATGGGGCAGGGCAGCATCCTGTGCTCCACGGCCTCTCCTGGGTACCAGCCTGGAGCTGTCAGGGTCAGGTTGTGCCCCATGGAGCTGTCACTGGCCCCCTCATGCCACCAGGTCTGTGGTCCCTAACACACTTGTCTGCGATGTCGCTGGTTCAGTCCTGCTGTGCTCAGCCCCCCATGTCCCTGTAGCGCAGGTGTCCATGTATCTGCACCTAACATGGGTGTCTGCACCTGACATGGGTGTCTGCGTGATGTCCTGCTGTGTGTGTCCGGGCATGCTGCCATCCTCAGACCCCAAAGGGAACGGGGTCACATCCACTCTGGGGGCAGCAGGGACACAAGCGACAAGGACAGAGCGCAAGACCAGACCTTGCCCCATCCACCGCTCTCAGCTGCGGTCGGACCCCTGTGGAGACCCTGATGCCCAGACCTGGCTTGTGCCATTCAGGGGATGGGGCTGGAGGATGGGAAGGCTCCTCGGTGCTGTGACAGCTCAGTTGGCATCTGGGGGTGACAGGGCCCTTGTAGGGGGTGGGCAGCCGTGCTGGGGTGGATGCTCACAGGCGGGAGCCCACCCGTGCCGTGTGTGGGACTAACCAGCTGCCTGCTCTCCCTGCCTTGTGCCGCCCAGCCATCTATGCCGTGCATAACCTCAGCGAGGTCTCCCTCACCCAGTACGAGCTGGACAGTAAGTCACTGCCCCCCCTGCCCCTCTGTGCCTCCCCGTGTGTGTCCTCCCTCCCCACTGCCATCCCCCTGTGTGCCCCTCCCCTCCGCCTGCCTGTGCTGTGGGGTGAACTGCATGCCCTGTGCCGAGGGGACACCTCTGCCTGTCTGTTCCTGTTGGTCCCTGGGGAGCCTCCCAGCGAGGGGGGCTCTGCTGTGTCCCCTGGGGGTAGCGGGACCCCCACACTACCGGCTGTAGGGAGGGCCCCACTCATCCCTTCTCCCCTTTCCCCCCGCAGACCTGAGCAAGCACCGGCGCTACGAGATCCGCATGAGCGTGTACAACGCTGTGGGCGAGGGCCCCCCCAGCCCCCCCCAGGAGGTCTTCGTGGGCGAAGCGGGTGAGTCCACCGGCATGGCCTTGCCTTGTGAGGGGCTGCCCACAGCTGGGAGCTGCGGGGAGGGGGCTCGACTGCCCTGGCACCTTCTGCTCCTACATGCCACTGCACAGCAGCCCCATGGCCCCCATCCCGCCTGCACGCCTCTGATGTGCCGAGACAAGGCAGTGAATCCCCCTGCATCGAGGGGGGTTTTCCCCCGCCCTGGTCCTGGCTGGGCTGTGACGCTGTCCCTTCCTTCGGCGCAGTGCCCACCGGCGCGCCACAGAATGTGGCGGTAGGCGGCCACACGGCCACCCTTTTTGGATGTACCCTGGGAACCGCCACCCGCTGAGACCCAGAATGGGGACATCCAGGGCTACAAGGTACCGCACCTCATCACTTGGGAGCTGGCACTGAGCCAGGGCTCAGGGAGACTGGGTGCCCTGAGAAGGTGCTGGGTTCCTGAGGGGGCA